TGTTGGTACCAGGCTTCTTGTACAGCCTGCAGAACCATGAGCCAAATAACCCTCTTTTCTTTCTAAATTACCCAACTTCAGGCATTCCTTTATAGCAACACTAAATGGACTAAGACATCCACTTTTGCCATTCCATCAGTTCACAGACCCACATGGAGCCCATCTGTGGGCCCCAGTGAAGAACCCTAGCTCCAGGATCCACAGCTCAGGACTCAGGTGTGAGAGGAAGTAGCATCTAACAGTTGATCTGAGGAGGAACACCTAGCTCCTACTTCAGCTAAGGGAGGAGACCACCCCTCATATTGTCTTATGCCCAATTTCTGCCTTTAAAGAAAAAAGAAGTGAAAACTAAAAGGTGGAAATGAAATCCACAGGCAGACAGCCCATTGCCACACCCTGGGCATGGTAGTTAAAGATTGACCCCTGACCTAATCGGTTATGTTATCTAAAGACATTGTATGGAAAAGCACTGTGAAAATCCCTGTCCTGTTCTGCTCCGTTCTAATTACCAGTGCATGCAGCCCCCAGTCACGTACCCCCTGCTTGCTCAATCGATCATGACCCTCTCACATGGACACCCTTAGAGTTGTAAGCCCTTAAGAGGGACAGGAATTGCTCACTCGGGGAGCTCGGTTTTTGAGAGGTGAGTCTTGCTGATGCTTCCAGCCGAATAAAGCCCTTCCTTCTTTAACTCGGTGTCTGAGGGGTTTTGTCTGCAGCCCCACTAAGTGACACCAAACAGGGTAATCAGATCTGGGCATCAGAGCCTCTGCAGGAAATGTTGGCTTAGCCCACAGTGCTGAAAACAAATGTAAATTTGTACTAGGTGTGGGTCATCTGCTGCATCCCACACTTTCCCTCCCACTTCTGGCTTATAAGCAATTCCATCAAGAGGTTGAAGAAGGGCACAGTTGGCTAAATGGTAGAAATGAAAGGCAAGAACCAAAATCTGCCTGAAGCCTGCAGAGATAGCTTCCATCAGTATGATTTTTATATTAATAGTTGTGGGAGTTTATGAGGGGACGAGAGCAATGATGCACACACTAGGCTCATGAAGGCCAAAGTCTTCGTATCCTGAGTTTATAAATCAGGTGCTAGTGAAATCAAACACAAAACACATTCACTCAAAAGGACAAAGGTGGCTTCAGAGAAAAGGAACAGTTTGTCGAAGGAGAAGCCGTGATCACTTCCAGCCCTGAGAAATAGCTAGCACATCAGGAAATGCTTGGACAGCTCTGGCCCAGGTTCAACAATCTTTCCAAAGAATCACACTAAAGCACAGATCCTTTTATCCTGGAGGTCCAGCTGCCCAAGCTTGGCCACTGAGATGGAGGGGTCTGCAAGAAAGCTCACTTTCTCCCAAGCACTCCTCCCTAATGGACAGAGTGAGAGGAGTGTGTGGAGTGGACAAAAGGATTGCACAGTGCAGTGAGTGTGCAGAGCACTGAGGAAGGAGGAACACAGCCAGTGGGGACTGAAGAGGCCTGCATTTCTGACAGGGACTGGAGTAGACACAGATGGTAAGCATGATGGAAAGTGTTCTGATCAACCCCCCCCCCCCCCCCCGCAGGAGGGTGTGCTCTCATTCTACCACTCTAGACCCAGGTACAGTCATGCGCCGCATTATAACCTTTCAGTCAACAATTGACCACATATAGAACAGTGGTCCCAGAAGATTATACCACCACATTTTTACTATACCATTTCTATGTTTAGATACACAAATATTTGCCATTGCATTACAATTGCATGCAGTATTCAGTACAGTCACTAGCATGTGACTGTACCGAATAGAATCTAAACCACTGAGCCTAGTGTATAGTGGGAGGTACCAGCTAGGTTTGTGTAAGTACATTCTACAATGTTCAAAGATGAAATTGCCTAACGATGCATTTCTCCGAAGGTGTCCCCATCACTAAGCACCAAATGACTGTATTTGTTCAGAACTATCGCAGCAAGTGAAGGCTTCAGCTTCCCTAGAGCTTCACAGTCTCATGGAAACTTCTAGGGCAGCCACTCCTTTCAAAGGAACTAAAAGTCCTTTCAAAGCCAATAATTCACTTCAGCAACCTGGACCCTAAGGCTTTCGTTCCACAATTAGGATACAATTAGCTGATTCTTTTTCCCCAAAGAAAAAATTATAGAAGGAATATGTACATTTTCAGGACTTTTGGTATGCACTGCCAAATGTCCTATCAGAGCAGTCATCTCAATTTACACACGGACAGACATGTCCACGTCCCCAGTCTCCTTTGCAATCTTTGCCATTTAGTACTTGGGAGGTAATTTTCATTTGTTTCAATTGTAAATTTTATAAAATGAACAGTGAATGTATTTTCCTTTCATTTGTGTGTGTGTGAGTTGCTGTCCTTTGCTACATTTCTAGTAAACTGTCTTTTTCCTATTGATTTGTATGGTGTCTTTAAGTATGACAGTTGCTAATATTTTCCCAGCTTGTCATGTGTTAACTTCATTTAGTGGGGCTTTGGCCACACAGAAGTGCTGGATTTTAATCTTCTTCTTTATTGTTTCTGCCTTTGTTACATTGGTTAAGAAAGCCTTCCCTGGCAGAGCTTGCAGTGAGGCGAGATAGCAACACTGCACTCCAGCCTGGGCGACAGAGCGAGACTCCTTCTCTAAAAAAAAAAAAAAAAGAAAGAAAAAAAAAGAAAGAAAGAAAGCCTTCCCTATGCCAAGATTATAAGAAGATTAATCCATGTGCTCTTCTGGGCCTTTGTGGCTCTGTGTTTCCCATTTTACATTAATCCATCTGGAGGTTCTCTTGGCATGGGAGTTAGGTAAACATTCAACTCCCCCCACCTCCAATGTCTCACCCTTGTCATAACACCATTTATTGAATTATCTGTCCTTTCCCTAATATTTTGAAATGCCTGCAAAGTGGGGGAATTGTTCTTTGGCAATTTTTCAAATCTATACTGCCGACAACAATTTCCCTTTCACCCTCACCCCACACCCTCCCTCTTGTTGAGTATTTGCCTTAAGATGCAGGTGGTGGGTGAGGATGTGCCCTATTTTGCAACTGGGCAGTCTGTCTATGGAGGCTGGGGTCACATCAACCCCAATCCTAACAACTTTCTCCCCCGCTTTGGGCCCTTCAATGTGTCCACTTTCCTGAGACCCCTTAAGGGAGTTTATGCAGATTTATAAAAGTGATGATGATTGCCCCTTACAGCCACCTTTTCCCATCAAAGCTTTGTCATGTACCTTCACGGCAGGATCTGAAACTTGTCCTAGCGTCCACAGCCGGTCTTGACCTCAACGGAACTTATGTACCCTTGTGTGAAGCAGAGGACGCAGCCTTAGGACTCTGAGCCTTGACCTTTGCTGTGTGCCACCCTCCACCCCTTTCTCTCTCAGATTTGGGAGGAGTGAGGGGAGGAGCCACCTGGAGCAGTTCAGGAGTGGGGAGCTTCAGGACAGTTTGCACCACACAGTCTGGGACTTCGCTGCGCAACACCCCTGACCCCCATGTGAGGAAGGTGGTTTTTGTTTTCTCCACTAGACTGTCAGCCCCTCCCTAGGAGCACAGTGTGTCTTGCTCACATTCGTGTCCCCAGTGTCAGCACTTAAAATGGGTTCAACAGATAAATGTTGAATGAAATTCAGAAATGATGTGCAATAGTAACAGTTAACATTTAGGAATCAACTTATTACTTACATGACACCTTTGCATATTGAGTGAAATTAAGTTGTTTGGTTTAACAAATGTGTGGCTTTCGGGTAGAGGACAAGAACATAGCAAGAGGAAGCATTCTTTATGAGTCCTTCACGCAAGAGGATGGGCAGACACATCCCTCCAGAGGCAGGGACCCAGAGAGACGCCCGGCCAGGCAGAAGAGCTCCAGGATGAGGCCCCAGTCCTGGAAAAGTGCATTTGAAGGAGGCTTAAGGCATATCAGACAGCCTGGCCAACATGGTAAAACCGGCCTCTACCAAAAATACAAAAAAATTAGCCGGGCATGGTGGCATGATAGTCCCAGCTACTTGGGAGGCTGAGGCAGGAGAATCACTTGAGCCCAGAAGGCGAAGGTTGCAGTGAGCCGAGATCCTGCCACTGCACTCCAGCCTGAGAGACAGAGTGAAGAAAAAAAAAACACCAAAAAAAGGTATTAGAGAGGCTTTATCTCCTACGTGTTCAAAAGCAACCATGCTCCTCCCAGTATCTCACTAAGACTGTGTTCCTGTTGATCTTCACAGAAGCTCCATGAAAGCGAGCTTCGCCTTTGTTCAGTCAGCGAGCGGCTCAACACAGGACCTGGAAGCCCCCAAGGCTCTATCAACGGATTTCTCCCCAAAACTTCGTTTCCTTCCGCGACGCCCTACAAGAACCCTGGACTCCTGAGTCCCTGGCTCAGTGCCTGCTACCCCGATGCTGTCAATCAGATCTTGCTAATCTGAGCGGCCGTGGCTCGGACCCGACTCCGCGTCCACTGACAGGTCAGCGCTGTGGGTCTCCGGATTCCCAGTCCAAATCCGACGGCTTGAGGTCCCCGCGCCCCCGGGACCTGCGGAGCCCGAGCACCGGGAGCTCCAGAGAACTACATTTCCCACAGTGCTCTTGGGAAGTCGGGGCCGCCGAGACCCACGGCCCGACGGGCGAGCTCGCGCGGAGACTCCTGGGAGTTGTAGTCCGGTCCGCCGGCGCCGGCGCTGGTGCTGCTGCGGGCACGGCGCCGGCCTTTGTCTGCGGGCACGCGCCGCTGCGGTGAGTGAGGCCCCCGGCCGGGTCAAAGCGCCGGGGCAAGGCGGGGCTGCGCCATCAGGCCGCTGTCCCGGGCCCTCCGTGTGGCCGCATTATGACAGCGGCCGCCACGGAAATGAGCAGGCCCGGCCGGCCCGGCCCCCGAGGGAGGCCAGCCGCGAGCGGAGAGGTCGGCGGTCCGCAGAGCAGGGTCCCGTGGACCGGAGAGCGGGGTGCCGAGGTTCAGGACGCTGGGCGGGCCCGGGGCCCGAGGCGGGAGGGCAGCGTCTGCGGAGAGGAGCAGGGCCCATAGGGTCGGGGCGTGGGAGGGGGAGGCCGCGGTGGGCTCCCCGGGCCTCCGTGCGGGCTTCAGCGAGGGCGGGAAGCCGGCGCCGGCCTTTCGGGGATGCGAGGAGAGGCAGCCCCTCCAAGGGAGAAGAGGAAGCCAGGCAGTGTGTGGGAAACCACGCTACCCACAAGCTCCTACACCTGAAACGCCCCAGGACATTCTCCAGACCGCCAAGTGTACCCCTCTTCTCATCCGCCCTCCAGAGGACGCTGGATTTTAGGTCTTAAGCCTGGTGGTCTCGTCAGATACCCCTCTTGTTTGGTTCTTTCCCTTTCACTGTCCTACTGATAGCAGAGTGTTAGGAACCTGTTTGGTAAGTGGGGAAACTTGCCGAAGGTCATAGACCCTGGGGGAGCCAGGGCAAGAAACCAAGACTCTCACGGACTACTACTAAGCTTTTTCCAAAGGATATAATAGCCTTTCTAATAGGAATATCACTGTTTTTAATTATAAAGCCACTTTTACAAAATCTTAGGAAAACTACTTCCTCAGACCTGTGATCTAGGGAGAAAAATGTGACAATTTCCCCCTTACTAATCACGGAGGTCCCTGATAGGCGGCGGAGTTGTAACTTGAAGACGTCACAGCAGGTGGAAAGGCAGAGCTGTGAATTCTACCCTAATTTCCAGAATCCCCAGCGACAGAGTCCAACTCCAGGCAGCAGGCGTCATGTACTCCAGGGACTTTTAATGTGTGCAGTTGTTGAGCAAGAATACCTTGAACTTCCAAATGATGTGCTGGCATGCTGGTAGGGAATTCCTTTGTAGCTTGTGTTCCAAGTTGGAAGTGAGTCCTCCAAATAAAAATTTAAATGCCTCTCTTGGTCATCACAGCATGTAGCAGAACGTGCAGCTGTCAAGAAGAACCAGGTGCTTAGGTTAACAAAACAAATTATGGTAGCATCATATTATTATTTCATTAAATCAGAAGGCCAGCATTTTGATAGGACATTAGAGGGAAACAAGGAGTATACATTGAACCACTGCGTTTCTTAAAAGTGTAAGAATTCAGTAATTAGGATCCTGAAGTAAGAAAAAATATTTTTTAAAAAAATAGATCATGTGGGCCAGGTGTAGTGGCTCATGCCTACAATCTCAGCATTTTGGGAGGCCAAGGCAGGAGGATCACTTCAGGCCAAGAGTTGGAGACCAGCCTGGGCAGGATAATGAGACCCGATCTCTACAAAAAAAAAAAAATTTTTAATAATTTTTAAAAATGAGCTAGGCTTGGTGGTACTTACCTGTAGTCCTAGCTATTTGGGAGGCTGAAGTGGGAGGATCCGTTGAGTCCTGGAGTTCAAAGCCACAGCAAGCTATGATTGAGCCACTGTACTCCAGCCTGGGCAACAGAGCAAAACCTTGACTCAGAAAACTTTAAAAAATAATAATAATAAAAGATAATTTAGAGCACATACAAGAGGATTCCTAGGATCTGGAAGAGTAATTCAGTCTAGTCAAACTCTCTTCCTTTCTGTTCAATTTTATAAGCATTCTGACCAGGTCTTTAGTGATCAGGAACTAGACAACTGTTTAATGTAAGAGCATACACTTTGGATCCAGAAAGTCTTGGATTTGAACCTTTGTTCCACCTTGATTCCTTATTTTCTGTGGGTTTTTGGGCAAGTTACTTAACCTAGTTGGAGTGCCTCGGGCTTGGTTTTGGAGTCCAGAGTAGGTCTTTCTTTTCCAAGAATTGACAAGTGTTTACACTTGGTCAGAACTGGTATTCTTGTATCTTCAAGAGCAAGAGAAAGGTGAGTCTGGGTCTGGAGCCTCCTAAGAATTGTTCAGTGATAACATATGGACTCTCTTGTTAAGTCTTTGTAACTACAGAGAACTGGAGAGCTGCTTGGTTCCAACCAATCGTGAAGGCTGAAATGTTTTTTTAGATTCTGAATTCCTCTGGGGCTTGGAGGGAAGAAAGTAGTAGGTGGTTAGGTGGGGAACCAAAATGGAAGATCCCAATCACATGCCAAGACCAAAGTGTAAACAGGAGTGACTGTTAACTTGGGATTGGCAGGAAGAGATATATGTTTATGTGTTCTCTGCCTTCCCACCTCCTGCTTCCTCCTAGACTCATTTGTGTGTGGTCCTGGTACCTCTGGGCCCATTTTGCTGTGACATTATAGTAACTAACATTATGTCAAGCAATCTAACTTTCTTACATTCACTTATGCCTCCACAACTGTTGACTTTTTCCTTCTCACATATCAATTATTCTGCCCTTTCCTGTTTGTTTCTGTTTGTTTGTTTTTATCCCTCAGGTGCTCAGGAACAGTCCATGGAAGAATCATATGAAGAGGTGGTGACTGAGGTCGTAAGCAGGAGTGGACATGTTTGGATTTCCAACAGCTACCCTGCTGGACTGTCATGGAAGATATGCCCAGAATGTAGCGTTCTTCAGTGAGTGAGTCAGTTGATGTCTGGATGTGCTCAGCTCACAGATATTCAGTGTCCCTGTCCTCAGCACTGGTCAGCAGTCTGAGGAAGCAGAGGAGACCTTGCTTTGGTAGAGCTCGCTGTTCCTAGGGTTACAAGAAAAGCCTGTGAGCTGGAGTTAGAAGTAATAGTAGAAACAGAGCAAGAGAACCATCGTGATATAGAGGTAGCGTTGAAGTAGTCTCTGAGAATCAATGAGCAGCTTAAATCTCAGCATTGTCTCTGAGTAAGGCAAGAGAACAAGGAGAAAATTACCCTGGGGTGACACCAAGAAAACTGTTAATGGTGATGAATGGACCCATATTTAAAGTGCACCAGGAGGCTCAGATGCAGGGCAGTATTAGGAAAAAATAAAGTCAATACCTGCATAGAGAATAACTTCCAAACCAAAATTGATTTCAGTTTTGCCATAGCTTAGTAGGCTAAAAATAGCAAGGATTTTAATGGGAAAAATTCCTTGGATCAGATTCTATAATTGCCATGGCTAGATCTGCAGTATCAGACAGGTTATTTAACTTCCTTAAGCTCCAGGTTCATCTGTAAAATGGGGCAGTAAGTTCTATCTTGTAGGGTTGCAGGGATTAGCAATGACAGATGTAAAGTACCCAGGATTGTGCCACATATTTTCTGAGGTCACGGTGCTTATTCCATTATAAAAGCAGACTGGACAGAGGTGGATTTCTGAAGAAGCAAATGCAGCTTAAGTTTTAGGACCGCTTACTTGCATTGGTCTCTCCAAGACCCTGGACTTAATTTTATACATTTTCTTAAAAGGGTGCCTCTAAAATGGGGAAGTTTTAGGCCTTATACAGCCTGGATCCACACCTGTTTTGGAGTCAGACAAAAGTTGGGTATGGGGCTCTATGTGATTCTGTATAGTTTTCTAAATTTTCTGAGCTGGTTTTCTGACCTATAAAATAGAGAAAACCATGTCTGTCTTACAAGGTTATTTGTTGGCCTAAATTAAATTTAGAGGCAGTACAGTACTATGGAGAATGCCTATTTGAGTCAGCTCTAACTTACCTAGTTCTGTGACCTTTGACAGTCTCCCTTTGCTCCCATTATCTGTATCAATCTCATGGTATTGTTTTCAGGATTGCATTGTCTATGCACAGAATAAGGCCTGGCACATCATAAGCACTCAAAGAATTATGTTTCTTTTTCCCTATTCTAAATCAGCATATTGGTGCTTCTTACGTGACTTCCCTCTCATTTTATCAGATGTGATGACTGAAGCCCACCACAAGTATGACCACTCTGAGGCTACAGGATCCTCAAGCTGGGATATCCAAAATTCTTTCAGAAGAGAGAAGCTGGAACAAAAATCCCCAGATTCGAAGACCCTACAGGAAGATTCACCTGGAGTGAGACAAAGGGTCTATGAGTGCCAGGAGTGTGGAAAATCCTTCCGGCAAAAAGGTAGTCTAACGTTACATGAGAGAATCCACACTGGTCAAAAGCCTTTTGAGTGCACCCACTGTGGAAAAAGCTTCAGGGCCAAAGGCAATCTTGTTACACATCAGCGGATACACACGGGAGAGAAGCCTTATCAGTGCAAGGAGTGTGGGAAAAGCTTCAGTCAACGAGGTAGTCTCGCTGTCCACGAGAGACTCCACACTGGACAGAAACCCTACGAGTGTGCTATTTGTCAGAGAAGCTTCAGGAATCAGAGTAACCTTGCTGTTCACAGGAGAGTTCACAGTGGTGAGAAGCCCTATAGATGTGATCAGTGTGGAAAAGCCTTCAGTCAGAAAGGAAGCTTAATTGTTCACATCAGAGTCCACACGGGCCTGAAGCCCTATGCCTGTACCCAGTGCAGGAAGAGTTTCCACACCAGGGGGAATTGTATTCTGCATGGCAAAATCCACACAGGAGAGACACCCTATCTGTGTGGCCAGTGTGGAAAAAGCTTCACCCAGAGAGGGAGCCTGGCTGTGCACCAGCGAAGCTGCTCACAGAGGCTCACCCTTTGACCACTCTCTTGAACAGAAGTTCTCTTTATGAATTAAGAGTACAAAATTCTCTGAGATGAAGCAACCTATCCAGTTCTATGGAATGAATGGAGAATCTTTCAGAAAGACCATCATCGGGTAGGGCAAACTGACTTTTCTCCTTTCCCCCGAAAGAGTATGAGAAATAAATGTCTTCTTTATTATCATTATCATGTATGTTTTATAATTTCTGTCACTTTATTTTGACCTGATTTTTCAAGGTACCCCCATTAATCCGGTGCCACACTAGAGATTGCTCTGTGTATACACAATACAGATTTTAAATTTGTAGTTGACACCATCAGGCTTTTTTAAATGTAAAAAATCAGCCCCTCATCAATCGCAAGTTCTTTTTCTTCCCTACATATTCAAATTAATCTTGTTTTGCCTTCAAAATCACTGGGCAAAATCCATGGGGCAAATCTAGTTAACCTTTATAATCGTCTTGTTGAACATTTCATTACCTGGATGATACCCCTAATAACCTATTGTAACTAATCACTCATGTCTGTAGCAAGGGGCCTACCCTTTTGTTACAAAGAAAATTTCTTTCCAAGCCTGCAGAGCTTTAGTTTGTGCATTTAGACATACTTCAGTCCTCCACTCCTAACTAGGATAGAGATAATTCACCTATAACCAAAGAGCAAACAACTACTGTCTGTGCAATTTTTTAAAATCTTTAACCCATTTCTCCCCATCTATTAAAGGGACTCCTACATTCTCAGAGACCTTCACTCCCTCCTTGGTAACAGTAGCAATATCTTAGGATTGGGTTATCTAGAAAGGATGTAAGTGTTCTTATTACTGAACCCAGACTTGTAGTTTGTGGTCAATAATGAACTTCCACTCTGCAACAATACTATCCTCTTCCTCTTCTTTGCACACACACAAAGAAATTTGGAATTCTAACCCATCCTTTTTTCTGACCTCCAGGAGATGAGATTTGAAGAAGGCTGCAGAAGAGAAATTGGTTCTGAGGGGAAATTTTCATTTCCATTTTTTTAAATCTTAGCCATCTCTATAATTTTTCATGCTGAGCATTTATGTAAGTGAAATAAATGATGGATGATAGAGATTTTGGTTTTCTTGGTAAGACACCATTCCATACTTTCTAGTGGATCCTATAAACCAGTGGTCCCCAAGCTTTTTGGTACCAGGGACCAGTTTCATAAAAGACAATTTTCCTACAGATGGAGGGGGAAGGTGGGATGGTTTTGGGATGATCCAAGCACATTACATTTATTGTGCACTTTATTATTTTTACATTATAGTATATAATGAAACAATTATAAGGTACTCACCATAAGGTAGAATCAGTGGGAGTCCTGAGCTTGTTTTCCTGCTACTAGACAGTCCCATCTGGGGGTGATGGGAGACAGTGACAGATCATAAGGCATTAGATTCTCATAAGGAGTGCACAACCTAGAATCCCTTGCATGCACAGTTCACAATGGGGTTCACACTTCTATGAGAATCTAATGCTGCCACTATCTGACAGGAGGCAGAGCTCAGGCGGTAATGTGAGCGGTGGGCAGTGACTGTAAATACAGATGAAACTTCGCTTGCTCTCCCACCACTCACCTCCTGCTGTGTGCCCCAGTTCGTAACAGGCCACAGACTGGTAATGATCCATGGCCCCAGGGTTGGGAACTCCCTGCTATAAATTATTGCCTCCTTAATCCCAAAAAGCTTGTAATAGTAAATCCTTACCATCTAGAGAGGTAAATTTCAAAGGTCTTTCAGCATTGAAATAATTTAGAAACACTGGATTTTAATATGAAAGTATTATTCCAAAGATACCATGATAACATTTGAAGATATATACAAGAATGTTCATATCATCTTCATTTGTAAAAGCTACACACTAGAAATAAATGTCCAACAATGGGTGAGGGATAAACTGTAGTATATCCATACAGTGAAATACAACTCAGCAATAAAAAAGAACATACAAGTGATACATCAATATGGATGAATCTGAAAGTTTTATGTTGAGTTAAAGAAGTCAAATACACAAATAGTATAATTCCACTTACGTGCCTTCACAGAACAGGAAAAACTATGTGTGAGGATTGACCTGAAAGGCACACAAGGGAAGTATACAGAGTGAAAACAATGTTCTGTACCTGACATCAGGCAGTAGATGCACAGGTCTAAACAATTACCAAAATTCATTGAACTCAATGCTTAAGATCTGTGCATTTTATTATATGTAAGATATACTTCAGTAACCATGAAGCAGTATATTGCCTACAAGCTCTTTGACACTCATCCCATGAAGATATGTAGGCTATGTCACCACCGCTTGAATCTGGACAGCCTTGTGACTGCTTCAAACAATAGAACACAACAGAAGTGATACTATACCAAGTATAGTTCTGAAAAGCCCTTAAAAGGTATGAAAAATTTCTGCCTGGTTCTCTTGAGAGACTTACTCTCAGGTGAAACCAGCCACCATGTAAAAAGTCCAGTTATCCTGAAATCACTATAATGGACAAGCTGCATATAAATGCTCCAGCCAACAGTTTCAGCTGAGCTCCCAACAGCCTGCCAGCCATGTGTGAGGGTCATTGTAGGTTTCTGGCCCAGTAGAATGCAGCCCCAGCTGACATCTGGCCAAAACTGCATGAAAGACTCCAAAGTGAGACTGCCTCACCTAATTCCTGACAAACAAAATCATGAGAAAAATGAAACATTATGGTTGGATACCACTAAATTTTCAGGTAATTTGTTATGCAGCAATAACAGAATAACTTAAGTACTTTTTAAGGATAAGCCACTGTAAAATTTATATATAGAAAAAATCAGAGGCTAGGAGTGGTGGCTCATGCCTGCAATCCCAGCACTTTGGGAGGCCAAGGTAGGCGGATCACCTGACGTTGGGAGTTCAAGACCAGCCTGACCAACATGGAGAAACCCTGTCTCTATTAAAAATACAAAATTAGCTGGGCATGGTGGCGCATGCCTATAATCCCAGCTACTTGGGAGGCTGAGGCAGGAGAGTCACTCGAACCCGGGAGGCAGAGGTTGCAGTGAGCTGAGATTGCACCACTGCACTCCAGCCTGGGCAACAAGAACAAAAACTCTGTCTCAAAAAAAAAAAAGAAAAATCTGGGGAAGCAGCTTGATATTACCTCACTGGCTAAATCAAAACAGGAAATTATGATTTATGATTCACCAGAAAGCTTAAGGTTTAAAATAAACATTCTCTTTGACAAAATAAGAGGCATGGTATAGATAGTTAACTGATATCGAATCCAAGTTATAAAATGAAGAAGTAGATGCTGGACTCCAGCAGTACTGCATTATAAGAAATGTAAAAATATATGCCTATATGTATACTTATTCTTTCAGAATCTCAAAAATATATATGTGTATATATAGATAAATATAGAGAAAGAGCTATATAGATACATAAAATCTTAAAAGCATAGTTCTGCAAAAAGGAATGAGTAAATAATAAAGAGTAAAGAGGTCAGAAAATATATCATTGGCCACTGGTGATCAACTAAACCTTTAGCCCCTCTCCCCTCCCTGTGGTAGGGGGGTGCTGAAAGTTCCAGTCCCCTAATCCTGCTTTGGTCGTTATGGTGACCAGCCCCATCCTGAAGCTACCTTAGGACCCCTGGCCATAGTCATCTTATTAGCATAAAAAACGCACTCTTATCACTCACAAGATTCCAAGAGAGAAGCTGTTATGTCAGGAAATGGAGACAAAAACCAAATATATGGGCCAGGGTGCGGTGGCTTATGTCTGTAATCCCAGCACTTTGGGAGGCTGATGTGGGCGGATCACTTGAGGTCAGGAGTTCGAGGCCAGCCTAGCCAACATGGTGAAATCCCATCTCTACTAAAAATACAAAAATGAGACAGAAGTGCTGGTGGACGCCTGTAATCCCAGCTACTGGGGACTCTGAGATAGGAGAACCACTTGAATCCGGGAGACGGAGGCTGCAGTGAGCCAAGATTGTGCCACTGCACTCCAGCCTAAGTGACAGAGTGAGACTCTGTCTCAAAAAGAATACATAAAAATAAAAATAAAATATACATATATAATGTGATATCATAAGTCCCAAATACATAAAGCAAAAATTGAGAGAACAAAGGAAATACAGACACCACCAAAATCCCATAGTTAGAGATGTTGACACCCTTCTCTCAATAGCTGTAAAGTTAGGGGGGAAAAAGCAGTAAGGATATGGAAGTTTTGAAAAGCACTATCAACCAACTTGATGCCATTGGTATTCGTGGGCACTACACGCATCCAAAGCAGCATACACATTCCTCTGAAGTGCACATGAAACCTTCACCACAATGGACCATATGCTGGGCCACAAGTCTCAATAAATTTAAAACACTTGAATTATACAGAGTATATTCTTTGGCCACTACGTCGTTAAATTAGTAATCAATAATAATAAAATATCTAGAAAATCCCCACAATTGTTTGGAAATTAAACTGTACACTTCTAAATCACTTATAGTTCAAAGAATAAATCGCAAAGAAAATTGAGGAAAATATTTTGAACTAAATGATATGTGTCAAAATATGAGGGCTGCAGTTAAAGCAGCTCTTTAGACGAATTGTGTAGCTTTAAAATGCCTGGATTCGAAAAGAAAAAAACATAAAATCACTGATCTGTTACCCACTTGAGAAGCTAGAAAAAGAGTTAATCAAAACCAAAGAAAGAAGATATTGTTCATAATAGAGTAGATCAATGAAACTGAATATCAGCAAAGCAGAAGTAAGCTCTTTGAAAGGGTTAATAAAACTGATAAACTCATAGCAAGGCTAATCAAAAAAAAAAAAAGAAACACAAACTACAAATATCAGGAATAAAAGAAAGGACATCACAACAAATTACAAAGATATTAAAGGAAAAATGAAAGCATAACAGTGTTATGTCGAAAAGTTCAACAGCAAAAATGAAGTGTACAAAGTCTTTAAAAGACACAACTTGCCAAAATGACAGAAGAAGAAACAGAAAATCAACTGGGTGCAGTGGCTCACACCTGTAATCCTAGCACTTTGAGAGACCAAGACAGGAAGATTTCTTGAATTTCTTGATGCCAGGCATTTGAAATCACCCTGGGCAACATAGTGAGACCCCGTCTCCACCAAAAAAAAAAAAAAAGAAAAGAAATAGAAAATCCAAGTATCCCTATATCTA